AGGATATACTGTACAACACACAGAATATAGCTAATATTTTATAATAACTATAAGTGGAATATAACCTTTAAAAATTGTGAATCACTATATTGTACACTTATAACTTACATAATATTATACATCAACTATACTTCAAGAAACAAAAATAATCAGTTGTCCAGGTATGTGTGGGTTTACTTCTAGACTCTCTACTCTGTTCCATTGATTTATTTATCTAATTTGATGCCAATATCATGCTCTTTTGATCACTGTAGCTTTATAATAGTTCTTAAAATCAGGTAGTGTTAGCCCTTCAACTTTATTCTTTTTTGAGTTTTTCTGCTATTCTGCCTACTCCCATACATTTCCATGAATTTTCAAGTAAACTTGTCAATTCCTACAAAAAAAAAAAAATCCCACTTGGATTTTGTTTTGGATTGCCTTGAATCTATAGGTCAATTTTGGGAGAATCAATATCCTAATATTGAGTTTTGTGACCCAAGAACATATTTCAATTTATTCAGGTTATTAACAGTTTCTTTCAATATTTTGTGAATTTCAATGTAGAAGTCGTTCATATTTTTTGTCAGATTTATCCCAAAGTATTTCATATTTTTCGTTCCTATTATAAGTGGTGTTTTAAAAATTTTCATTTCCAAATGTCCATTGCTAGTAAAGAAATAAATTTCTTCCCCATATTGATCTCATACCCTGCATCCTTGTCAAATTCTAGTAGTGTTTAGAAGTAGATTTCATTGGATTTCCTACATAGATGATCGTGTCACCTGTGAATAACAACAGGCTTATTTTTTCCCTTCCGATCGAGATGACTTTTCTTTCTTTTTCTTGCCTGAATGCACTGGCTAGAACCTTAAATACAACACTGAATAGAAGTGTTGAGAGCGAACATCCCTTTCTAGCTTCCGATTTTAAGGAAAAAAGAATTCAGTATCTCAACAGTGAGTATTACGTTAGGTGTAGATTTTCCCTAGATGCCCTTTAAGTTCCCACTTATTCCTTGTTTGACTATTTTTAAATCAGGAATGGATGTTAGATTTTGTCAACTGCTTCCTATTTTTTTAGTTTACTAATATGGTGAATTCCATGGACCGATTTACAAATGTGAAGTCAACTCCATGTTCCCGGGATAAATCCTACTTGGTCATGATGAATTATCATGACCAGAATTATCCTTCTGATATACCGCTGGATTCAATTTGCTAAAATTTCCTTTAGAATTTTAACATCTATATTTGTGAAGTATATTGGTCTATAAGCAATTTTCTTTACTTTAAAATCTTTGTCTGGTTTTGGTACCATATTCTATGAACCTACCATTAACAAGTTGGGAAGCATTTCCCCACTTTAATTTTTGGAAGAGTTTTGTATAGAACTGGTACTATTTCTTCCTGAAATGTTGATAGAATTCACCAGTGAAGACACATGGGCCCAGAATTTTCTTTGTCCAAGGTTTCTAACTTCAATTTCCCTATAGTACTCTTCGGGTTATTTATTTCTTCTTGAGTGAGCTTTGGTAATATGTGTCTCACAAGGAATTTGCCCATTTCATCCAGGTTTTTAAATTTATTGGCCTAAAGTTGTTCATAATATTTCCTTATTATCCATTTTAACATTTGTAGAATCTACAGTAGTCACTTCTCTCATTCTTGATATTGGTAAGTCACTTCTCTCTTCATAATCAGTCTGGCTTGAGACCAATTTTACTGGTTTTATAGCTCAAGCTTTTGGTTTCATTGATGTTTTTCTATTGCTTCCCTGTTTTCTATTTCATTGATTTCCACTTGGATATTTACTATTTTCTTTCTTCTGTTTACTTTGGGTTTAACTTGCTCTTCTTTTTCTGTTTCTTAAGGTAGAAGCTGAAGTCACTGGTTTGATGAGAACTTTTCTAATATACTGTTTTATAATATAGGTGTTTCAGTGCTATAAATTTTCCAAGTATAAATGCTCAATTGTTTTTTTCTATTGCTGTGCTTTCAAGTTACCTAATCTTTTCTTCTGTAATGTCTAATCTGTTGTTAATTCCATCCAGTATATTTTTCAACTCTAACACTGTGGATTTTCATCTCTAGAAGTTCAACTTTGGCCTCTATATCTTCTCTATTCCTACTTAACTTTTTAAACACATGAAATACAGTTATAATTGCTTTAATGTCTTTCTGCGCTAATTTTAGTGTCTGTGTCAGTTATGACTTGGTTTCTATTGATTGATTAATCTTCTCATTATGGGTCATGCTGCCCTATCTTTTTGCATGCTTGGTCATTTGACAGGATGCCAGACATTATGATTTTTATTTTGTTGGGTGTTGAATATTTTTAATTTACTGTGAGTCATCTTGAGCTTCATTCTGGGATACTAGGAAACATTCTGACCCTTTTGGGTCTTGCTTTCATGATTTGTTAGGCAACTCTGGAACAGTGCTCAGTTTAAGGCTAAGTATTCCTCCCTAATGAGCCAAGACCTTCCTGAGTACTTTACCCAATTTCCCATTGAAGTCTGCTGAAAAATGGTCATCTAAAGGCATCAGGTCCTAATCCCTGGAAACTATAAATGTTACCTTGTAAGGAAAAAAGGGTCTGTGTAGATGTAATGAAGTATTTTGCCACGAGCAAATTATCTTGAATCATCTGGATGAGTCCTAAATCCAATTACAAGTGTCTTTTTAAAAAGAGAGGCAGAGGGAGATTGGACACACACAAGAGGAGGTGGCAATGTGACCTCGGAGGCAGAGAGTGGAGTAATGCGGCCCCTAGCCAAGGGATGCTGGCAGCTACAAGAAGAGGGAAGAGGCAAAGAACAGATTCTTCTCTAGATTTTGGCTTAGTGAAACTTATTTCAGACCTCTAATTTTCAGAAGTGTAAGAGAATAAATTTATGTTGTTTTTGGACACCAAGTTTGTGGTGATTTGTTACAGCAGCCTTAGGAAACTAAAACACTCATAAATGAATTATAAGTTTTTCCCATCTGGCTGTTGGGAAAAGGCGTGTTTCCCTCTAATCCTCTATTCCTTTCAGATGGTTCTTTCTCTGGCCAGAGAGTTTATCCATACGTATATGCTGAACAGAACTCTACGGAGTACTCTTGCACCCTTTGTAGATCTCTAGTGTTCTCTCTCTGCAACGTTCTGGAAACTCTATCAAGGCATGAATGCTGGGGCACCTCTTTTGCTTCCTGTCTCTCAGGGATTACTTTCATTTCACTGCCTGATGTCTAGGATCTTGAAAACTATTATTTCATGTTTGTGTATGCTTTGTGGTTTCAGGCAGGAGGGTTAATCTGGTTCCTATTATTCCATCTTGGCTAAAAATTCCATTAATGTTTATAAATATCTTCCTAATTTTTTTTTGGTTAAAGTTAAATAAATGCACAATGTAATAGGGTTCTCTGGAAACCACAGAGTTCGTTAGTCAACAGGTTTTTAACAAGGCATTATTTTTAGGCACTGAAAATACAGAGGTAAATAAAATGCCAATATTGCCCAAAGAAAACATTCTATCACAAGGTCCTTGAACAGAGTTCATTTCTCACTTACCATATCATGAAGGCATATAGCAGATAGTTATCAACATAAATTGAGTGTACTATTAAGTGACCAGTTAATAGTAGGTAAACATAAATAGGTAAAGTTGCTGTAGCTGCTATTGATTTTTACTAAAATAATAAAACACTGATCCAAGGATAGAATAAATTGATTCCAGAAAAGTGATGAAGTTTAGAATTTTGAGTAGTTGAATTAAGACCACATTTCAGACTGAAATGAATTAAGAATATATTCAATTGTCCATATTATTTCTTAATAGAGTAACATTTTACTAATGAAAGAAAACACTAAGGAAAATTTTACCTTTCCCATAAAAAGCATAATTTTAATTCAGAAATTTAGGAATCTTTAAAAAAACACATCCACCCAAATGTAAATGGGAATTTAATATATCAGATATGTAATTTTGTTTCACTCTCAAGATTTATAATGATATCATTTAAGAGTATGTTTCTAGTATAGTCTACCTTACTGAAATAACACAAACATCTGACACTGAACATATATTCAGTACTAAGCACTGTGCTAATAATAAGCACTTTACGTGTATTATCTCCTTTAATTTACATCAGGCCCTATGACATTAGATGTTACTTCTATCCTCATTTTAAAGATAATGAAGCTCAGACACAGAAACCTGTCTAACGTCACATAATTGTGTAACTAGCATGGCTAGGACTTAAATTCAGTCTTCTTGACTCTAAAGCTCATGTTCTAAAAATAAGCCACAAATTCAATTTTATAAACCAGGAAAATACGGCTGATAAATTGCAAAAGCTTTCATTATGAAGTTCCCTTAAATAACGGTTTCCTCTAAATATCAAATATCGATTAACATTTTAGCTACAACATTTTAAGAGCACTTTTATTTTAAAAGTTGACGCTAAACCGATAATTTCTAATATATATGCAAGCAAATAAAGCACTCGATATTTAAAAAAGATATAGTTTTGTATTTAAAGAATTTGTAATCTCTCACAAATAGATGAACAAAAATATTCAGAGGAAACCTATCAAATCTTATTTTTTCTTATAATGCATATACATCCTCATGACTACAGAGTATGAGAAGGAATGACACATTTACTCTAAAAGAGATACAATTATCTTCACATTAATGTAGGTCTTTAAAAAGGATTTTTTTGTTTCTGTATAATAGATACTTATTCTATGTGGAGAGTGGGTATAAAATGTATGTAGTATTTTGTATTTCTTTGACATCACTGGAGAGAAAAAATATGGATCAAGGAGATGGAGTCCCTCTTATAATAAGAGTTTGATGAAGACACTTTATCACCAATCTCAAAACATGTGCTCTCAAACTCTCAAGAAAGGCTTTGAGTTTTCTCATGTAGGCCTATTTGTTCACTGCTGTGAGTATAAGGGATGGACAATATAAGGGACCTTAGAAAATATTTCACCTCTGAAGAAATTATAGTAATATTATTGTTATTTACCTGAAGATTTTCACAGGTCTCTTGACTGTAAGTGAGTCTCTGGATTTCTGTAGGTGAAACAAGATATAATGCTTGTCCATTGTTGGTGAAGCAGAACGTTCTGGCTATCCGCATATTGGTAAGGGGCAAGTAATACACATCCAATAGAGGTCTTAAACTTGGCAAACTTGAGAAAAAAATTAAAAACTTGTTAATAAACAGGTAGGTTTTAGTCTTGAACAAATACTAGAGGAGGTAAAAATAGCAGGGAACTTATAAACCTTATGATTTAGTGCACCTGAGTGGGAGATAAAACTGATTTGTTTTCCTCACATACTTGTTCACTATGAACTGAAAGAAAATAAATTCTCAGTGTATAAGACTGTAAACAAATAAAAGCCTTTCTTTCAAACTGAATATAATTCTGCAACATTATGTGTTGAGGGAGGAAATGTTATATCTGTGTTTAAAAAAAGAAAAAATCTAACTCTTACCTAAAAGTCATAATGTGTCCATTGGCACAGAAGCAGGCAAGGCAGATACTGTTACTCAATGATACAATATCTCCACGAAGAACAAATGAGGTCTCTGTAATGTTTTGCTTATAAGCACAGTTCTGAGTTGGCAGTGAGATTACTTTTGCTTGCTTTTCAGAACATATCACTGCATACTGGTTTTCACTAATTTCCTGAGAAGAGGAGGGAGATACAGAGACAGGTCTTCGTTTTTTCAATTTCTCCTTTTCATCCTTCTCTTCAGGAACATTGTGTTCTTTCCAGGATTCATATGCGGGTGGCATTAAGCAGCCTGTGGAATCCAGGAATGCCATTCTCAGGACTGCCCCTTTTAACCTCAATATAGTACCTAAAATTGTAATTTTAGTAAATAAAAAATATTTTAATCCCACAGTAAATATGTTTATTCCAACTCTGACACATACTAGACACTCAAAAATATGTAGAATGTATACTGAACCGAAATTGTACACTGGCTCACTGATAGGATTCAAACTTCAAGCATGATATTTGAATCTGGAAAATGATATCAGTAAGTGCTACCAAATAAATAAGTGCTACTATAATTGCTACCAAACAGATAAACGCTAGGATGTGTGGAACTAGGCCTCATACCTGGCAAGTGTACTACCATTGAGTATGAGAGGAAGCAGATGGCATCTAGAGCTGCACGGTCCAATATGGCAGCCACTAGCCACTTGAAGTGTGGCTGGTCCAAATTGTGGCATGTTGTAAGAGTGAAATACATGCTGGATTTGAAGGCTTAGTACAAAGAAAAAATTATAAGAAAATACCACAATAATATAAAAATACTGATTACATGCTAAAATGATAGTATTTTGGATAGACTGGGCTAAATGAAATATGTTACTAAAATTAATTTCACTTTTTAAATTTTTTTACTTTTTTAAAAACAGCTACTAGAAAATTTAGAATACTATATGTGGCTCACACTGCATTTTTAATGGACAGAACTGATCTACAGGGTCAATGAGAAAAAAAAGTTTCCACATATTTCTAAACATTACTTCAAAAAAACTATTTACCAGTAAAGGTCAAATACACTCCAGACATTGCTTTGGTCAACTTACAGTCTTAAATTAGTAGTTATATTTCTTGATTTACTTTAATTAATGGGACTCCCTTTCGTCCATATCCTTGAATAGGTAAATATGATATATGCTCATTTCTAAGTAAGCTAAATGATACTATTAAGGATTTGGAAAGCAATAGAAGGGAGGGTATAGAACCGATTTAGCATTTCAGTTTTTATTTTAGAGGATTTTTTTCATATTTTATTACTTTATACTTATATTTTATAGTTTGCAAAAAATTATCCATATATTGTATTCTTTTGTTTCTAAGAGGAAGAGATCCCAGTGTTCTGTCAAAATTTTTCTTAGAAGACAAAATTTTCCTTTCCTCTTCACATTTATATATTTTGTCTATTGCAGGGTAGCCAGATAAAATAAAGGATGCCCAGTTAAATCTGAATTTCAGATATACAATCAATACTTTTTTTAGTATAAGTGTGTCCCAAATTCTGCATTATTTTTCCAAAGAGAAAGATGGGACATATTTATATTAAAAAATATGCTATCTAAAGTCCAAATTTAACTGGGCATCCTGCAATTCATTTGCTACATCTGGCATTAGTCTATTGTCCAGGTTTGGAAAGTAGACAATTTAATTATTTTAAATGGTTTGCTAATTTGGGAATGGTTTATAGTCCATATGAACATATATGAGATATAGTAATTCCAGTAAGTAGATTTTCTAAAAATGTACCAATATTTAAATATATGCTTGTCCTATAGTTGGCAGGATTATAGTATGTTTTCCAGCAGGGTAGTGGTAATTGTTGAGTTCTCCTCTTGAAGGCAAAAAAAAAAAAAACCACAACAAAAAACAGTTGGGGACAAAATAGACCATTTCAGGCTCTTAGGCATGGAAACCCACCTGCTTGGAAAACACCTCTCTTCTCCTCATAGTTCCAATAGAGATAATATAATATAAATGTCATTGTTATATTTTAAAATAGGCATCCTATTAAAAACAAACCTCAAAGATTCCAACGTTGAAAAGAAACCCAAAGGTTCTTTCTTACACATGAAAATTATTTCATATCAAAGTAGATTTACAGCTAATTTGACTTTATTGCCAGTTGGAAAAATCTTAAGTATTTTTTAATATAGTTAATAGTAGATTATTTATATTTAATCCCTCTCTCTTTTTTATTTATTGGAAACATTTTCTTATCACAAACTGTCTGTTGTAGAAAATTTAGAAACTACATATCAGTAAAAAGAATAAAAATTACCCCCAATCCCACTATTCAGTGATAATTACTATCAACATTTTGATTTTCATCTTTCTAGTTGTTTTTTCCAATACATATACTTGTTTACTAATAAGAAATGAGATTGGCTAAGAAATTCATCATTATGTAACTTTTTCTAACAACTAGGTATGTAGCATATAGTAAATTACTGAGCTGAATGAATAAATCAAACTGTTCCTTTAATGTAAAGGTAGTTCAGAAATGGTAGAACTAGAAATCATAATTACATTTTAATTCTAAATTCTAAGTATTGTTAAAATGTACTATATAAACAAGAAATACACTAGTAAGCAAAACCATGTTTTTGTTTTTTTCTATCTAGATCAGCATAGATTAGTAACGGAAACCAGAATTCTCAATTATTTCAAGACCTATCAGATTCCACATACATGTGATAAAATTCAATCTCATTTTCAATATAGGAAGACTGTAGATTTTTTCTTCTTAATTTTTTTTATTAAATCACCTTTTCTAATTCTTCAAATAAGAAAATTAATGTATTTTAAGACTTCACACATAGAGATTAAAAATAGCCAAGTGTATAATGTTTAAAAATACACTTTTCTGTTTTTTCTCTAAATATGTACCATCCTTTTGCTTATAGAACATACTATTCTGAGGTATCCTAGAATGCAGTAGAACAAGTGTTTTTTTTTTGTTTGTTTGTTTTTCTCATTTTCTTTTGTAGTAATCATTTTAGACATGATTCTAGGATTAAAAAAATATAAAACCTGAATGGCTGTATAAGTAAATGATATTCTGGAATCTTATTCCATGTATTCCTTCAATTAAAAACATAAGACTATAACTATCCCCATTTAGACTTAGATTGATTCAAAAATGAAAAGCAAAGGCTTCTATTAAATTATACTAAAGCAAACCTTCAAAAGAAGTATAGCACCAGAGCATACATACCACTTGGAGACACAATTACTGGCTGAAGAAGTCTTTGCTCTCCTCCTGGGGGAAGGTTCAGTGCAATGACAAGCACTGTTCCCAATGTAGTACCAACCCACAAGCATGGGGAGGGGGCTGAATCTGCCTTTCGAGTAAAAGTTTCACAGAAATGAAGAGCAGAGATTGCTTCTCGGGATTCTTTATCAATGCTGGTTACACTTGAACTCCGTGATCGGCTGAAGGAATTATCTTTTACATCTGAAACGATTTAAAACGTTGTGAGATTGCTCAAGTTATAAAATATCATGTTTTTTGCTTGGTATAAGTTTTGCCAAATAGTTAATCTGCAAAAAGATAAAATCTACAGCATATTTAATTTTAAGTTTCTTTTAATTGAAAAGAAAAACAATTTACTTTTATGCTAACAATTTTTTCCTTTGCTTGTGTTTGAAACACAGAGGGACAAATCCACACTTCTCAGAACTGAGCTGAGGTCATCCCAGTGAGCTCAGTGAGTTTTTGGATGTAATGATCTCTGTGGTTCTGGTGCAGCTCTCTGTTAGTATCCTGGCTGCTTTTCCAATCTTAGCCCTTACTACCCTTTCTCATGGTGCTGTTTCTTCCTTTGGTAATATAATTCATGAGTAGATAGAATCAGGAAAGTGGGTATTTTCAATTTTCTACATTAAAAAAAAATGCTTTTATAAGTACTCTGATGTTACCTTCAAATTTATTGTATGATGGACTTTTTTCCTTCAAATCTGTCCATATGATAGCCTTAATCCATAAAAATTTAGCTTTATTTTTTTTAAATGCGATTTTAACTGTAACTAACGTTCATCTAAGGCGTTTTTCATTAAACTGTACAACTGGTATCTGGCTCATACTTAACTTGATGCCAGGTATATTCCCTTTACCCCGGCTCTGTCTGTAATGACAGGGATACTTGTAAATTATACTAATAAACCCTCTCTTGTCTTCAGCTACCTTCTCTGTGGCCAATCTCAAGTCTGTTTCAAGCCCTGGCCTCCTTTCTCTTGGAATGCATTTCCAAACGCTTATAAAAAATTTTTTCCTATTATGTCTCACTAGGCAAAATCAAAATACATCATTTCTCCAAGGCTCTAAATTCTTCTAATGGCACTATTTATATTAATGACACCTCTGTTCTCCTAGGAAAACAATACTTGAAATAAGTCCCAATTTCGGTTCTTCCCTTTCACTTTACTTACATGTCTCTGATGGGATGCCAAGTCCTACGCTATTCTAATGTTTCTGTTTCCTTCTTTCCACTACTAATCAACTTCCATCACCCTATGTTCAGGCCTTTATCACCATTCATCTAGACTACAATTCCCAAGAGATCTCCCCACCTTCACTCTGTCACTGTTCTATCAAAACTCAACTAAAATTTACAAGGTACAGTTTTAATTCTATCACCTCTATCTTAAAAATCCGCAACAGTTCCTCTTATACTCTTACTAGGTTTTTAAGACTCCACAAAATATCTCAACCTACCCTCCCGGCCCTATCTGCCAGAGTGCTGCCCTGCTTCAGTTCACTGTGGGAAATAAACCGAGCCATTCAATGTTCTCCAAACATACCTGGAGCTTACCTACTTTTTTGCTTGTGATTTTCTTTCTGATTCGTGCCCTTGCCTTTTCTCTACCTATCTAGATGGTGTTTATTCTCCATCTCAAGTACTGTCATCCTCATGAAGTTTATCCTGATTCCTAAAACCATACACAGTTTTTCTCTTTTGAATCTTGATAGCTTTTTATCTCCCTCCTGGCATGAATAGTACATTTGTTCTGTAGTTACTGACTTGTCTTAGGCCTTGTTCTAATGTGACTGTAAATTTCTTGAGAACAAGGGCTCTCTCCTTTTGATGCCCTGCAGAATTTGGCATAGTGCCTTGAAGGTATTCAACATATACTTGCTGAAGACAGACCTACAGTTCGAAGTATCTGAAGCAATGTGTTTCTGCTACACCACTGGGATATATTAAAATTTCTAGTAGTTTCTGCTATTCACATCTAATAAATCATTCCTCAAATCACATGTTTCCAATGCTATTGTGAAAGAAACGACTTCATAATGTTGTGAAAAATGAAAAACATGTTCAAGTCTTCTAAGTTGTATTTTACTGAATAAAAAAGGCATAATTGAATCCTACTTATACCCCCCAAAAGCTTCTTGTAATCAAATTTAGATTCATAGGTTAAAAAAAATTCTCCCAAACAATAATTATATACAACATAATTTTGATTACAGTTAGCCTCTGAAAACAATAAAGCCACTAGTTATGACAACAGCATGGGTTATTTCTAACTATAGTTTCTAAAAATGCTTTTCTTTTGCCTGAGATTGTGCTTCCTGTTACAGATTATGACACAGTAGAAAAGAACTACTTAATGTAAATAAAACAACTTTCTATAAGCAACAGCTCATTACTGGATGAGCTTGTAATATGATATTGATTCCAAATGTTAACTCTTTATGTTCCCAAAGTTATTTTAGTAAAAAAACAGAAATTTAAAATTTATTTTCCAATGATAAAAATATTTGTTACTTTGATAAGACATACACATAACAAGATGAACAGACATATTCACCTATATTATCAGTTGTGACCTAGTGATAAAAATGAAAATCAGTGATACAAGAAAATTTAATATTATAAATTTCAATATAAATTAAGCTGTATGAAAACCTTTACTGTTATCTATTAAAATTACAATAGGTGATTCACAACAATCTATACTTCAAATGTTAATTCACAGGCCAAGTAAACATTATTTTAATTTAATAGACTAATTTAACTATATAAAATTCATAAACTACAACTGTGTTTTTATTATATGACTTCTCTATAAAAATTAGATTGCCAGAGAAACTCCTATGGCTAGATCCATATGGGAAAATGAACTGAATCAGAATCAACTCTGAACTTAGAGAATTAGGTTGCTTATTTTATCTGTGTAGAACTGTTTGAAAACAAGTTAGAATCTTCAGCAGTTCACGAATTGTAACTACCACTGACTGCTCTCAAGTTAGATGTTGTGGGTCTTTGTGGCTTAAATATAAGAAATTGGGCAAGCTTAACAAATGGAATAGAAATTTTCATTTTCATTCTACTAATAAGAGCAGAAATGAAATAGCTACCACTAAGTAGGGCCTACCATGTGCTTCATACTATCATAAACTTTACATTTATCATTTTATTGAATCTATATAATAACCCTGAAAAGTATTATCACCATAATTTAACAAATAATGAAGTAGAGGCTCAGACAGGTTAAATGACTGAGAAAGCTAGTTAATGGAAGAGTTTGGATTTGTGCCCATGTTCAAGTCTAAAACATCTGTTAGGCAACTCCAGATAAACATGGGATTAGTCATATCACCAATATCATACGAGTGGAGTGTTTTAATTATTATTGAGCATTAAAGTTCAGTGTTTAGATTAAAAAAAAACAAAACTGGAACATGTGGTCTTTCTGGCCGATCTAAACTCAGAAAAAAATTGTCATTAATGCCTCCATCCAGCTCTAGTGATACAACCATGTCATAAAATCATTGCTTTCCTGTTATTCTCTGGATGCCTAGAACATTCCACCTGTGTATATCACACTCTCCTGTCACATAGAGCCTTATGCAACAAAATTTTATATCCCCCAATCAAAACATAGTGCCAAGAGGTAAATTTGGTCAGGGTAAAAATTAGGACAAAATACTTACTCACATAAAGATACATAACAGTTTGATATTTTGCCTCCTGTTCTTGACACTTGAAAAGTGACATCAGCAGTCTAACAATATCACCCATGATTCCTGAGTTGTGGGCCATGGAATCTAGGGTGAAGCTATGGTGAAAGTACAATGTTGCATAATTCCCCTATAAACAAAAGTGAATTCTATTCACAGAAGCTTCCATAGCTGCAGGAAAAGTCCAACAGCTCAGCTACTTTAGCAACATTTGGCAGTTTGAGCCTATGGATAATAGTTGTTTTTCCCCGTTGACTCTCTGGACAATGTAAAAGATTTACCAGCTAAGAATCTCTATCAAAAAATAGTTCAGTAGCACAATGACTTAAGGGAAAATTATTGAGGCAACATGGGTATTGTTTCAACATATATATTAATCAAAGTTATAATTAGCTTAGGGCATTGAGATACAGGGGCACACAAGTAAAAGATAAACTGAATAAAGATGATCTATAAAAGCACAGAGCACACACTTTGATTAAATTACTTAAATAATTCATAAGTGTGAATATTCTTTTAAAAAGTAATTGACATCTTATTTTTACTAATTTAAAAAGTACTTCTACATGTGTTTTCTCAACAGATTTTTAGGTAATAAAAGACACAAAACCATTTTAAGTAGTAGTATTCAGTGTTACTAAAATCATGGGCATCTTTGAGAGTCTGATGAAAACTCTGGATCCTCTTGTTGGGGAAAAAAATGCTTAACGGTAGCCTCAGATACATGTGGGTTCAAATGGCATCTTTCATTTTTATAGTGAAGGGAACTATGCTCTTCTCAAAACATACGTTAACCAACATTCTAGAATTTATTTCTGGTTCCCTTAACAGCAGGGGTATTACAGGGTTCTACTAAACTGTTCTCCCTATGTTCAGGAATGGAACCTTTCACTGATGACAGTGGAAGATATTATGCCTACTCACTCATAATAACATGCTATCAGTATAACTGAGATAAGACTATGATTTGGAAATGCTAAAATCAGTAAGGTGAAATGGACCAATACCTAAGTCTGTATTATGCATAAGAAGATAGTCAAGGAATCTAGAGAATTAACAGTGAGAAGATGAGGTGGGTGAGCAAATAAAAAGGAGAAAATCTAGTTGTTTCTAAGACAAACATGCGTGAAATCATCTGTATGCAGTCATACTTCTTATCCACTTAAAGGCAATAGAAATTCTAAAATTAAAATGGAAATCCTGCTTTATATTTACTACATGGAATCTTATTTTTGTCTTTATCGAAATGTCATTTGTCCCTATCCTGGGATATCAGGGAGCTGTTTTGGAGCTGGATATAAAGCAGAAGGAATGTGTGAATATATTCACTCTGCTTTCCTAATGGATAGGCTGCATAGAGAGTGCTACAGAAAAAGATATATTTTCCACCTTATTATTGTCAAAAAGTAATAATGATTCTTGGTATGAGATTCACTGTAATACAGAAAACTAGTCATTTATTTTGAAAATATTAAATTCTCATAAAATAAGTTTATAAATAATAAAGTTCAAAATAAGTTTTCAGACGGTTAATAGAAATTAATCCAAAATCACACATATTTTAATCTTACACTAAATTTTGTTTAGATAAAAGTATGAGAAGGCTGAGGAAATATATTATTTTGATTTGCTTAAAGTTATATTATAATTATCCTTTACAATCTACAGAGAGCATCCTGAAGGCTATTAATCCTTAAACAGTCATTTTAAACTTGATTTTCAATGAAAATCTAGTCTATGGTCATTTTAAATCTCCTGATTTCCTTGTCTTCCCATTAAAGAGAGTTTAACTACTATGTATTTTCATTTATTTATTTTACTTACCTAAGTCAGGCTTTAGGTCAGTAGGCAAGCTTAACTTCCTTGACATTTTTGCTGAAAAATAAAATGCATTTTTAAAGTTCTGAAGAATATCTGATTCATGCTTATTCATACCAACTGGTCTTCAAGATAGGGGTGAATATTTTTCTTACTAAGTCTAGATGCTGAGATAATTAAGATATGATTAATAATGTTATGGGTGGAAAGTAAATCTTATTTTCAACTTTTTAAAAAGTTTGTACTTACTTGATTGTAACACCTTTGAGTGCTTGAAGCTCTCACTTCAAGAAAGCCTTTTAAATTCTAACTGTTAATTATTTCTTAGGCTCACAGGAAAGGGTTAGGCTTTTCTAAGGAAGCAAAATCATTTCTCAGAAAGAAGGTGTTGCAGATAAGGACAATAGAGGCATAAGACTGAATTTGGGTATGTGGTACAATAAAATCTTTCCAGCTCCTCGTCTTCACAGCTATTAGGCTCATTCTTTTTTAACTTAATCTCTTGAATATAGGACATCCTATATCTACAATCAAATTGAAGTATTTGATTACTTCACAAAAATATTTGGCTCATCCATTTCTTCATATATGTCAACTCAATTTACATTTTAGTAAAAAACAAAAAACAAAGTCATGCTCAGTCTAAAATTAGAGTATTTACAAAAATATAAACTACAGATACTTCTATTTTGGATTAGAATAATACAAAAGCCTAGGTAAAAAACTACTGAAATTCACTTTCCATCCTGAAAATCAGTTATTGCCTAAATCTAGGAAGTGATTTAAAGTTAGGAGGTGTTTAACTATATCTATTATGTTAGTGGCAGTGCATGCGTAACAGAATAGTGCTTCCTATGTGAAATTTTGAAAAAGCATTGTTTGTTAATACATGAATGTGTATATTGGGTTAAATTTTGGACTGTTAGGAGATATTTAAAGAACAGACCCTGCTAGTCCATAAGGGCGCCATGTAAGCAAAGAGAAATCCAGTCATAGTACATAACTTCCACATCTAAAAAAATGACAAATCCAGTGTTAGGAAAGAGGCATTAGGCAAACTGGGAAGGGATAGGGGGAAATCAAGTATTTATTTCTAAGCTTCATTAATCTAATTAGCATCCTTTAAAAAATAACAACAATGGGTCAAATATATGAATCAGTCTTATCCCATTTTCACACAGACTTAATCAATCTCAGTTAAAAGACAAAAAGTAATAGAAAACTAAAATAGCCAAATCTATGGTTGGTTGATCTCATATAAATGGCTGCTCTTGTATTTAATATCCAATTCTCTTAAACCTAGAAGATACTATACCCCTCTCAAAATGTTTTTTAAAATGCAATATTAAACTTTTGAAAGAATTCAGAGGTTTTCACCAAATATCAAAGGTACAATGTACGTAGACTGATAAATAATATCTATACAATATCTGAAGGAGAAAAATCAGTCAGGTACAGTCTAAAGATACTCTTTCAGAATCAGATGATGTGGATGCCTCTCTAGACCCCGCTACTCTGATTTGATTAAGTTATTCTGAAACTTAATCAAGTGCTTATAAATCTTGAATGTGCACACCAGTCACCTGGGTATCTTGTGAAATCAGATTCTTGCACTTCTAACAGGCTCCCAGGAGATGCTGCTGCTGCTGCTATGTGGACCACAGACAGCATCAACGTCCCTAGACTAAAAGCAACTTCAGGATAGGGAACAAGACTAATTCATCAAACCCAGTACGTAGATACAGTAAGTCCACAGCGAACATTTCTTGAAGAAGCTTCAACATCTAGTTTGTAAAATGTGGAAGTGTAAAGTACGGTGGTTAGGACTGGATTTGGAATCAGACCAAATATGAGTTTATATCTAATTCAACCAACTACTAGGTGTGTGACCTTAGGCCAATCACTTTGCCTCTCTAAACCTTAAATTTCCTCATCTGTAAAATGGGAATAGATATTAATGACAATTTCATAGTTGTGAAGATTATATAAGATGACATAAGCAAAACATTAGGCATAATACCTTACACACAGTGTGGATTTAATAAACGTTATTATTTATGAATAATAAACAAATAAAATGACTTTTTCATAAACTGTAAAATGTTACACAGATGAGCTATTAATATACTTTTGTAAACAACCCAATATTTCTTTATTCCAATTCTATGGTAATATTCCAATTAACTAAAACAAGAAAATGGAAAAAAACTTTTAGGATGTAAATATAGAATGGCATGCACAACTATAAGCTCAACCTCTTTTTAAGTTCATTTCAAAAACTAAGTTCTATATCTAAACATAAGAAGTGAAATAAACCTGAGTAATTCATAAGATATTTTTATGGGGAAGCGGTGGAGGGGTGAAAAGATTTAATTCCTTGGCATTTCCTGTGTAATTTATATTTATGCCTTCAGGTTCCATAGCCCTTTCTTCTGTAGTCTCCATCTAGTGATACTAAACCCATCTGATGAACTGATCATATAGTTTCAGATACTGAACTCTTCAGTACTAGTATTTCACTTTGTTATAAAGTTTTAATTTTCTCTGCTGATATTCTCCATCTGTTCACTCACTATGACCATGTTCTCATTTCAGTACCTGAACATATAATATTATAGCAGTTGCTTTAAAACTCTTGGCTGCTAATTTCAACATCTAGGTCATCTTATAGTCTGTTTCTACTGATTTTTTAAATTCTTAATTATGGGTCATATTTTCTCATGATTTTGAATTTTTATTTCACTTGTCTAGGAACTTTTGATTGAATGTGGACATATGTTTTGACTGAATAGTAGATAATATGTTGAAGGGAGCCTGGATTATACCATCAACCTTAACTGGTGTTGAGTTTTGTTCTGCCATGCAGTTAAATTACTGGTGGATAACAAGCTTGGTTTTATTCTTTGTTAGGGTGGGTCTATTTCAGTTAGAACTTTGTTCTAGGGTATGGCTCTTATGCTAAGAACTGATCCTTACTCTTCGAGAGTGGCCTTGCTGGGATATAAACAGAATGAATGAGGTGCTCAGCAAGGTCTCACTACTTCTACTCCCAGCATCGCATGACATCTGATATCACTGGCCAGCTCTCAGCCTCACAGCAGGTGGTTGTTAAGTAGGCCTACTGAAGTCTTGACCAGCTCATATGTGGCCCAGCCCTAAGGCAAGGACCTGCATTGAATCTCCACAGGGATTCTAGGAATCCCCCTTGAAGCAGTTCCTTCTTCTCTAGTGCCCTCCCTCACAAATTCCAGTCACTTTAGAAGCCCAGAACTCCAACTTCCTCCTCCTTAGCTTAATGAGACTGCAACTCCACTTGGGTTCTAATCACTCCGCACTGCAACAGGAAAAGTATTCTCTGGCAGAAAACTGTGTTTCACCTCATGTTTTTTCTTTCTCTTGAGGATGACAGTCCTGGACTGCTCAATGCCTGGCAATAAGAGCCTCATGTATTTTGACTAGTTTTACTGTTGTCTTCTGTGAGAGGCTAAGTTCCAAACCCAAGGTCTAAAGTTGAAATTTAGGCTAAATGTTTCTTTCAGTTTTTGTGACTACTTCAGAGGAATATCCTTGTTTTCAGGTCTGTTTAATCAACCTCCTTGGTGGCAGGTCCAGGAGAGGCAGATCCACTTCTGGAGAACCTCTAGTTAGTCCTCCTGGCTTATAAACTGTACTCTGGTTGTAATTTTGTGAGGAAGTAGTTGCAGACTTTATCCAGTATTTTCTGAAGCTCATATTTTTACTTCTCAGGAGTCTCAGAAGCACTTGCAACACAATTACCTTGTCACCTGATTTCATCACACTGAAAAAGAAACTTCTGCTCATGCTTTGAAGTTACTCAGCTTCCACTGAGGTTTTCAAACTGAAAACATATGATCTGAATGAGTTCTTGAAAGGCAAATTGCCTGTTTTTCTCTTCTTTATCTGTGTATTCTGCAACTCTTGCCCTGGTACCCAGTATCTTCCTTGCTTTGAAATCCTCTGTCACTAGAAACTATAAAATAGCTCTCTTTCTCTATGCCTTTGTCCACAGCAGAAACAATGGGAATGACAGTAAAGAAGTTTCTTCAGTCTGAAGAAAACTGGAGTCAAAGATGGATCTCAGCAGGCTGTTAACCTGAGTGTTTGCTCTCTCTTCTTATAAACCAGAATGAGAATATCAAGCTGGCTCGCTGAATAAGCAGTAAAGAGCTGCGTTTGATTGTAAAGAATAATGAAGTTACACTTAATCACAACAATCATGTCTGCAATGGTAGTTTCAACACCAAGGAAAGACGCATGATGTTCAAGAGAAGTAAATCTTAAGGCAAGGGGACTGCATGGGCCATTATACCATACATGACAGTTCCCTCACGGTTGATGCTTTTTAGTTCTTCGCAAAGAAAAGTTTCTCAATTATAGAGATTCTTACCACTTCTCTGAAATTAAACAGATGCTTTGAAATTTTCCTTTAGCTTTTCTACCCACTGTGTTCCACATCTTATTCTTCTAAGGAAGGTTTTTTAAAAGAAAACAGAACTATGACTTTTATATTAATGTACCAACAATAAAAGGTGAAATGACTTCTTATTATGACAGTATGAAGAAGATGCCAAAAAAGCAAACGGATCTTTGTTTACATCGAGAGCAGTTCAATAGTTAGAATAAAGTGACAATATCACTTTTCTCACCTGCAGAGATACAATGCAACTCTTTTCATGGATAATGTGGATAATGTCGAAATGTATGCATATTAAATAAAAGCAATCAGAATAATTAAAAAAAAAAGACTAAAAATCAGCTTGTAGGATAGAGCAAGCAATCCAAGGGGGGGGAAGTGGGACCAAGAAGTAGAAACTCTCCTATCACACACTATTTTAATAGTCATTTGAACTAATAATGTCAGTTTCTACCTCCCATCCTAGAATATAAATTCTATGAATTTGGGAACAGAATTTATTTTGCAAATTACTGTATCTATGCATGTGTCTAGCACTTAATGTGTATGTTCAATAAACATGGCAATGAATGAAAATAAACAAAAACTGTTAGAATTTTTAGAAAGAAGCTGAATTTCTTCA